CCCCACCCTCACACACACTGTACCCCATCCAACTCCCCGACCGTCACACACATTATACCCCATCCAACTCCCCGACCCTCACACACATTATTCCCCATCCAACTCCCCACCCTCACACACACACTGTACGCCATCCAACTCCCCCACCCTCACACACACGGTACCGCATCCAACTCCCCCACCTTCACACACACTGTACCCCATCAAACTCCCCCACCATCCTACACACACTTTACCCCATCCAACTCCCCACCCTCACACACACACTGTACCCCATTCAACTCCCCAACCTCACACACACACTGTACCCCATCCAACTCCCCAACCTCACACACCCACTGTACCCCATCCAACTCCCCCACCCTCACACACTCTGTACCCCATCCAACTCCCCCACCCTCACACACACACTGTACTCCATCCAACTCCCCACCCTCACACACACTGTACTCCATCCAACTCCCCACCCTCACACACACACTATCCCCCATCCAATCCCGCACCCTCACAAAAACACAAAGTTTGTGGATGACACATATTGGTTGTGTGGTTGACAGTGAGGAGGAAGGTGTTAGGTTCCCAGAGGATAGAAATGGATTGTTCAGATGGGCAGATCAGCAGCAGATGGAATGTAATCCTGATAAATGTGATGTGGTGAATGTTGGAAAAAGTAATAAGACCATGGAGTATTGGCAGGACACTCGGAAACTCAAAAAAACAGAGGGATCTTGGGGTGTTTGTCCACAGAGCCCTGAAGGAGACTGGATAGGTTAATAAGGCAGTTCAGAAGGCACATGGGACACTTGACTTTATCAGTTGAGCTCAGTATAGATTATAATAGCTGAGAGGTCATGTTGGAGCTCTATCGGATTTAGGTTAAGCCACAGTTGGAGTGCTGTGTGAAGCTGTACTGGAGGGGTGCAAAGGGAAATTCATCAGGATGTTGCCTGGGTCGGAGCATTTCAGCGATGGCGAGAGGATCGATAAGCTCAGGTTGTTTTCTTTGGAGCAGAGAAGGTTGAGGGGGGACCTGATGGAGGTGTAGAAGGTTATGAGGGGCATGGACAGGGTGAATAGAAAGCAGCTGTTCACCATAGTTGAAGAGAGGAGATTTGAGGAGATGTTTCACCAAGAGGGTGGTGGGGGTTCTGGAATCCACTGCTTGGGAGGGGAGTTGTGGCAGAAAACTTTGCAAGCTTTTAAAAGCAGTAGGATGAGCACTTGAAATGTCATAACATTCAATGCTGTGGGTTAATTGAAGGAAAGTGGGGCTGGTGTCAGTAATTGTACATTATTGGCGGCACAGACTCAATGGGCTGAAGGGCCTTTTCTGTATTGTGAGATTCTCTGATTCCAGGTTGTGCTAGGAGGACGTCTGTGTGACAGGTCAGCACTGTGGGGAGGCATGTACCTGCTACCCCCCACCAAATGGCGGATCTGATCGTGTGGGTGTTTCTGTGCCTCTGTGAGGGTGGTCCCCGCTTAATGAAGAGATTGCGCCAATGGAAGGGTCTGTCTAACTGGGCTGTCTGAGCCTATGGTCATATGCCAGGGCAGGTGATCTGTGCTAATACACAGTCTCTGCCAACGGAGACTCTGTGCCAGTTGGGCATTCTCTCTCTCTCTGTCTCTGACTGCTTATGGCAGTGCAGCATCCGTTTCTGCTCCCTGAGACCCAGCTTTCCTGCTGTTGTAACGTTATATCTCATGTTTTGCAGATGTTGTGAGGAACAAAAAACAAAGAAAGGAAACAGTGAAGGAGACAGTGAGAGTGGTGAAGAAGAAGAAGAAGGTGAAGAAGGTTGTTAAAGAGAGAGAGAAAGCTCAGAAAGGTGCGTTGATCCTGTTAAATCTAAACACGTGCAGAATAACAGGATAGAGGTTGTTGTCCGACATTGCCACATTCCCAGCAATTGATCAGGAACGGTCCCTGATTGATTACCCACAGGGCAGTATGATCATGTGACTGGCCGAATTATCCACCAGACCAGTTAGTAGCTGCCAATGGGGCTTCAAACCCCATCACATCAGCTGGTGGAATTTTAATTCCATTCACCAATTGGGAATTGAAAGCTAGTCTCAGGGACTTTCATCAATTGTTATTAAAAACCCATCTGGTTCACTAATGTCTGCTATCCCCCCCGCCCCCACTATATCTCTCAATCCCTTTAACCACAAGAGCTATATCTATCTCCTTGCTTCAAAACAATGAATATTTTGACCTCAACCACTTTCTGCGATAGTGATTTCCATAGGCTCTCCACTCTCTGGGTGAAAACATTTCTCCTCATCTCAGTCCTAAAAGGTTTACCGCTTTTCCTTATGTACTTTGTTCCGGACTCTTCCACCATTAGGAACGTCCTTCCTGCATCAAACCAGTCTAGTCCCATTGGAGTTTATCCGTTTCCACAAGAAATCCCCTCTATATTTTCTAAACTCTAGTGAAAACAATCATTATCATAATCAACTCAACCTTCCTCATACATTAGTCATGTCATCCCAGGGATCAGTTTGGTAAACCTTTGATGCACTCCCTCGATAGCAAAAACATCCATCCTCAGAAATGGATACCAAAACTGCTCTCAGTCTTCCAGGTGTGGTCTCATCATTGTTCCAATCCTATCAATGTCGATGGGACAATGTGGACGATGGTGACTGGATCTGTCCCCTCTGTCTCCAAGTTCTTCTCCAGCCCTGAGGAGATGACATTAACCTTGGCACCGGGCAGACCACCAACCTTCAGGCCTCCTGCTCCCGGCTGCAGAGAACAATCTATCCATCCTCTAATGATATTGTCCCCTACCGCAACCTCATTGCTCTCTTCTCCCCCCACTTAACTGTCTCCCTGTCTCAAGGTGCTGTGGTCAATTTGTTCATCCTCCCTGCAGTCCCCACTCTGGTCCACACAGCTTGCAGGAACGTGGGAACTGTTGGACAATTGCAGAGGACAAGGTTCCTCTATGTGAGCCTTCTGGGTGCCCTGCCTCACTGCAATAACACTGCCCTGTCCTGATCACAGACCAATGAATGACATGATCTGAAGGGTGTGACACCCTCTGAAGTAAACTGCCCAGGTAATGTTCCTCTTCCCTGACGGGATGTACTATCTGCAAGCTCAGACTCCAGCTCCTCACCTCAGATCTGAAATTCCTAAAGCTGCAAACACTTACTATAGAGTGTTTACAGTGGACCACACTGGTGTCCAGCAGCTCCCACATGCTGCAGCAGCAACACATCACCCACCCTGTCATCACTATTGTATTTGATTTAACTTATAGATTAATTACTCAGGATCTCCTGCCCTTTACACTTCACTGTACTGATACATTGTTTTTATCAATGAAAAAACCATCTGTGTAAGATCTGCGTCATTTTGGGACTCATTGCCTTTTCCTGGTCTAAATTGTGCTTTAGAGTGCCCACCTCTGGGATTAGAGTCCCTGGGAGTTGAGGACGGTCAGTTGACAGCATCTAGCAGCCTGAGAATTGGACTGGGAGCTCATCGAGGGCGTCTCAATATACAGGTCAGTGATGTCAAAGATCCACACGTTTCCTCTCTGACATTCAGCACACTGGTTTATTTTTAACTGTGGCTGAGCCAACATTAGTTGCTCATCCCTAACTGCTCTGAAGAGATTGGTGGTGAGGAATGTAGTGGAGTTAAAAAGTGATAAAGGACAGTTTCCATCCAAGGACGTTAAAAGAAATGGGAAGCACATTGAACTTTCAGAGTTCCCTAGATACAGGTGTCATCCCTCTGGATTCAAACAGCTCGAGCAACTCAAGACTGGGCATCCATGAGGCGCTGTGGGCCTTTAGCAGCAGCAGAATTGTACTCCAGCACAACCTGTAACCTCATGGCCCGGCATATTCCCCACTCAACCATTACCGTCAAGCCAGGGGATCAACCCTGGTTCAATGGAGAGTGCAGGAGGGCATGCCAGGAGCAGCACCAGGCATACCTGAAGATAAGGTATCAACCTGGTGAACCCACCAAACTGCACTCATCCATCTATTGTGATCTAACCTTACTACCCAATCTACCATGCAGCACCTGGTTGAAGGCCTTACTAAAGTTCATGTGGGTAATGTCTACTGCTCTACCTTCATCTATCTTCTTGGTCACCTCTTCAAAAAAAATCTCAAATCAAGTTTGTGAGATACGATTTCCCACACACAAAGCCATGCTATCCCTAATCAGTCCTTGCCTTTCCAAATGCATGTAAATCCTATCTCTCAGAATCCCCTGCAACAACTTACTTGTCATTGACATCATGCTCCCTGGTCTGTAGTTCCTTGGATTCTCCATACAGCATTTCTTCAGTAACAGCACAACATTGAGGGGAGGCAATAACCTAGTGGTGTTATCACTGGACTGTTTATCCAGAGACCCAGATAACATTCTGGGGATCTGGGTTTGAATCCCGCCACAGCAGATTGTGGAATTTGAATTCAATAAAAATCTGGAATTAAGAGTCTAATGATGACCATGAATCATTGTTGATTGTCGGAAAAACCCATCTGGTTCACTAATGTCTTTTAGGGAAGGAAACTGCCATCCTTACCTAGACTGGTCTACATGTGACTCCAGACACACAGCAATGTGATTGACTCTTTACTACCCTCTGGGCAATTAGGGATGGGCAATAAATGCTGGCCTGGCCAGTGTTGCCCTCCAGTCTTCCAGTGCCTCACCCACAGCTGTCAATTATACAGGTATCTCTGCCAGGGTCCCCACAATTTCTTCCCTAGCTTCCCACAATGTCCTGGATACACTTGATCAGGTCCTGGGGATTGATCTACCTTTATATGTTTTACAACCTTCAGCACCTTCTCTTCTGTAATATGGATCTTTCCAAAACATCACTATTTATTCCCTGAGCTCCCTTGCTTCCATGTCTTTCTCCATAGTAAATACTGATGTGAAATATTTGTTTAGTATCTCACCCATCTCCTGTGGCTCCACGCATATATGACCTCGTTGATCTTCAGGAGGCCCTATTCTCTCCCGAGTCACTCTTTTGCCATTAATATAGTTGTAGAATCTCTTTGAATTCTCCTTTACCCTATCCAGCAAAGCTACCTCATATCCCCTTTTTGCCCTCCTGATTTCCATCTTAAGTGTGCTCCTATAATCCCTATACTCCTCAGGGATTCACTTGATCCCAGCTGTCTATACCTGACATCTGCCCCCTTTTTCTTGAGAAGAGCCTCAGTATCTCTTGTCATCCGGTGTTCCCTACTCCTATCAGCCTTGCCTTTCACACTAACAGGAACATGCTGGCCCTGAACTCACATGATCTCGCTTCTGAAAGCTTCCCACATGCCCGACATCCCTTTACTTGCGAACGCCCTTCCTCAATCAACTTCTGAAAGTTGATTCTATCAAGATTAGCCTTGCCCCAATTCAGAACTTTAACTTGTGGACAAGGCCAATCGTTTTCCACCACTATTTTAAAGCTAATAGAATTATGGTCACTGGTCCCATTGTGACCACCACCCCCTGCCCCACTAACACCTCAGTCACTTCCCCTGCCTTATTTCCCAAGAGGAGGTTGAGTTTTGCTCCTTCTCTAGTAAGGCCATCTACATATTGATTGAGAAAGTTTTTTAACACACTTAACAAATTTCCCCCCATCCAAGCCTTTAACACTATGGCAGTGCTAGTCTGTGTTTGGAAAGTTAAAATACCCTACAATTACAACGGTATTATTCTTACAGCTATCTGCAGCCTCCCTCCATATTTGATTTGATTTATTGTAGTATTTGCTCCTTAATTTCCCGCTGACTAGTGGGAGGCCTATGGTACAATCCCACTAAAGTGATGATCCCCCTCTTTCTCCATTCCACCCATTTAGCTTCACTAGATGATCCCTCAGGAATGTCCTCTCTAACAACTGCCGTGTTCTTTCCCTTCATGAAAATGTCACTCCCTCTCCTGTCCTGCCTCCCCTTCTATCTTTCCAACAGCATCTGTATCCCGGAACATTAAGCCGCCAGTTCTGTCCCTCCATCTAAAATTCACGGCCACAGCATTCAGGAGAGATTTTAGGAAGCACTTCTACACACAAAGGGTGGGAGAGGTTTGGAACACTTTCTTCCACAAATGGCAGTGGATGCTGGATTTATGAAGTTGTTTAATGTTAAATCTGAGATAGATTTTTTTTTTGTTTAGCAAAGGTATTAGTGATATAGGCCAAGCCAAAGGCAGGTATATTGAGTTAGGCCACGGATCAGCCATGATCTCATTGAGTGGTAGAACATGATCGAGGGGCTACTCCTTTTCCCATGTTCCTTGATTTTATTTTAAATACAACTTCAATGGAAATGAGTCCCATTCAACTTACAAAAAAATGATATTAATCCCTTCATTGCAATAAAAATGATGCATTTATATTAATATTCCAGAGACACTGTCACATACAAGATACACTATTGTGTCAGACTGACAGCATCTTTGGGGCGTAGAATCACAGAACCATAGAAATAATGCAGCATAGAGAGGAGCCATTTGGCCCATCTTGTCCATGCTGACTCAAAGATCCCTAGATGCCCTTTCTAATATTATCTTCCCACACGCAGCCCATTGCCCTGTAGCCTATAGCACTTACGTACAGATCCAGGTACTTTTCAAAACAGTTTAGAGTCTCTGCCTCCACCACCAACTCAGGCAGCAAATTCCAGGCACCCACTAAACCCTGCGTAAAAAGGTTTTTCCTGACATTCCCTCTAATCCTTCTGCCACTTTGCTTGATTCCATGACCCCTGGTTTTTGAACTTTCTGCCAAGGGAAGCCGGTTCCTCCCATTTACTCTATCTCTAACCCTCAGCAGTACATCTCTGATCTAGTATTCTAACCCTCTTGAAACAAATGCTAACATTGCATTTGCCTTCCTAACTGACAACTGAACCTGCATGTTAACCTTAAGAGAATCCTGAACAAGGACTCCCAAGTCCCTTTGTACTTCAGATTTTCAAAGCCTTTTCCCATTTAGAAAATAGTCTACACCTCTGTTCTTACTATCTCACACTCTCCCACATTGTATTCCATCTGCCAATTCATCTGCCAATTCACTGTCCTAGCCTGTCCAAGTGCTTCTGAAGCCTCCCTGAATCTTCAGCACTGCCTGTGCCTTCACCTATCTTTGTGTCCTTTGCAAACTTATCAACAATGCCCTCAGTTCCTTTGTCCAGATCATTAATGTATAATGTAAATAGTTGTGGTTCCAACATAGACCCCTGTGGAACTCCACTAGTCAGCAGTTGCCATTCTGAAAAGACGCCTTTTTCCCTACTTTCTGCCAGTCAGTCAATCCTTGATCCATTCCAGTACCTTGGCCCTTCTGTGCGGCACCTTGTCAAAGGCCTTCTGGAAATCCAAATAGATGACATCCACTGGTTCTCCACTAATTTCCTCATTACTTTCTCAAAGAAGTCTCCAAATACACTGCAATCTCATCCTTAATGATGGATGCCAAAATCTTACCAACGACCAAGGTCAGGCTAATCAGCCTATAGTTTCCTGCCTTTTGCCTCCCTCCCTTCTTAAACAGGGGTGTTACATTGGTCACTTTCCAGTCCTCTAGGACCTTGTCTGACTGCAGTGATTCCTGAAAGATCACCACCAATGCCTCTACAATCTCCTCAGCTGGCTCCTGCAGAACTCTGTGGTGTAGTCCATCTGGTCTGTGTGATTTATCTGCCTTCAGACCTCTCAGCTTCCCCGGCACCTTCTCCTTAGTGATGGTCACTGCACTCACTTCTGCCTGCTGACTCTCTTGAAGTTCTGCAGTGCTGCTGATATCTTTAACCATGAAAACTAATGCAAAGTACCATTCGGTTCTTTGTGCCCCATTACTACCTTTCCAGCCTCATTTTCTAGCAATCCAATGTCCAGTCTTGCCTCTCTGTTACCTTTTAGATATCTAAAAAACCTCTTGTAATCTTCTTTTATATTACTAACTAGCTTACCCTCGTATTTCATCTTCTCCCCCCTTATTGTTTTTGTAGCTACCCTCTGCTGGTTTTTAAATCCTCTGGCTTCCCACTTATCTTCAACACGTTTATACTTTTTTGTTTGCTTTTCTGCTGTCCCTGACTTCCCTTGTCAGCCCTGGTTGCCTCATCCTCCCCTTAGTACGTTTCTTCTTCCTTGTGATAAATTTCTGCTGTGCCTCCCGAATTAATAAATGTTGTTTATCGTCCACATACTGTGAGCCCGGCTGATGATCCTAAATTAGTTGTCAACATAATTCTTCACACACTGAGGATTTTTTTAGCAAAGAAAGGTCAGTGGTCAACTGTCAGTCAATCACTGTTGCATACTCCCTGTATCTCTACCAATCAGAGTCCTCTACTAACCAACCAGCCCATTGCTCTCCTAAAGTTTCAGAGTTATTTTCCCTATACATTGACATTGCTGCATATTGTTCTGATGATTCATCAGCTGACTAGTTTTATTTGATTAGATTCCTGCTGAGGACTGGCAGCAATTTAAGGAGCTCCCACTGGCTTTGGGATTGGACTCAGAACCCTCCTCAAGAGAATTTTCCTGAGAATCAGAGGCATCTCCCATTGAGGCCAGCAGTTTCAGGCAGCATTCCCTTTCTCTCCCTGATCTCTCTCTCTCTCTCTCTCTATCTCTCTTTTGTTTTTGTTTAGGCTGGTCTCAATGACGGTGACTGGTACGATGGGGCCTGGTGTGCTGGCAAAGAGGACTCTGAACAATGGCTGCAGATTGATTCCGGTCGCTTGACCAAGTTCACTGGGATCGTTACACAGGGCAGAAATTCCATTTGGAGGTGAGCCGTGGGAAATGATTCTCCTCGTCTCTCTCTTTGGCGTTTTAACTTGTGTGTCTTTGTCTGGTCAGTATGAGCTGTGATGACACTTGGAGGCAGTGAGTGGCTGAATGGGGTTTGGACTGAGGGGAGTGGTGTGCCACAGGGAAATAAAGAGTAAGAAAGGTCTTCAAGATTTTTTATTATCTCATGGGACATGGGCGTCGCTGGCTGGTCAGCATTTATTGCATGTTCCTAGTTGCCCTTGAGAAGGTGGTGGTGAGCTGCCTTCTTGAACCGCTGCAGTTCTCCTGCTGTGGGTTGACCCACAATGCTATTAGGGAGGGAATTCCAGGATTTTGACCCAACGACAGTGAAGGAACAGTGGTATATTTCCAAGTCAGGATGGTGAGCGACTTGGAGGGGAATTTACAAGGGGTGGTATTCCCATATATCTGCTGCCCTTGTCCTTCTAATGGGCAGCTCCTCATGGTTGGACATGAAGCCCCACCTCCCCCAGGCGAGATTAGGAACCCAGGAACGGGGGCCGTCCAATCATCCCATTGAACCTGCCCTGTCATTCAATCCAATCATGGCTGATCAAAATCTTCACTGTATTTCTCAGACCCAATCCCCATAACTCTGTACACTATGAGGAACCCAAAATCTCTCAATCTCTACTTTCAACATACTCAAAGATTGTGCCTCCACAGCCTTCTGTCTCAAAAAATCCAAAGGTTCACAACCCTCTGATCAAAAACGAAGTCTCCTCATCTCCGAATTCAGTGGCACCCAGTGTCAGACTCCCCATTCTAGAACCTGTCTATCCTTGAAAGGGTTTTCTACATTTCAATGAGATCACCTCTCGCACTTCGAAACTCTCGAGAATGTAGGCCCAGTTTGTCCAGTCTGTCTTCATAGGAGTGTCCCACCATCCTAGGAACAAGTCTCGTTATCCTCGGGTTCTAAGGAAGGGTCACTGGGCCTGAAACATAAACTGGGTTTCTCTCTCCTCAGATGCTGTGTGACCTGCTGAGTCTCTTCGGCATTTTCTGTCTTTGTTGCTGCTGAACCTTTGTTGCCCTCCCATTATGAGAATGAGATCTTTCCTGAAAAAAGGTGACTGTTAGAAGAATAGATGCATTCGGAATCATCTTTCAAAATCCTATCAGCTCTAGAATGGTTTGTGCAGATTGCACTGACCAGTGCATACACTTTAGAGACTAATGTTGAACCATCACTTTAATGTGGGGATCATCAGGCAATGAGTGGGTACAGATCATTGACAAAAACTGTATACAGGACTCCAGCCGTCCAGCCAAGCTCCTGTACAGCTTTCTTTGGTGCTGCTGTACTCAACTCCTCTCATGATCAAGGCTAACGTTCCATTCACCTTCCCAATAGCTTTCTGCCCCTACATGTTAGCCTTCAGTGATATTTCACCCAGGTCCCTTTGTACATCTACATTTTCCAGCCTCTCACCATTAAAGAAATACTCTGCACATCTGTTTCTGTGACTAAAGTGGATAACTTCACATATTTCCACATTATATTCCGTCTGCCATGTTCTGGCCCATTGACTGAGTCTATCCAAATCCTCTGAAAACTGCTTTACATCTTCCTCACAACACATATTCCCACTGAGAGATAGTAGGAACTGCCGATGTTGGAGTCTGAGATAACAAGGTGTAGAGCTGGAGGAACACAGCAGGTCAGGCAGCATCAGAGGAGCAGGAACGCTGATATTTCGGGTCAGGATCCTTCTTCTGAGCTTAGCTTTGTATCGTTCACAAATTTGGAAAGATTAAGATTGATCCTCATCTCCAAATCATTGATAGATATTGTGAACCATTGGGGTCCAAACAATGACTGATGTGGTGTCCCGCTTGTCAGAGACTGTTAACGTGAGAATGACCCATTTATTCCTGATTTCTATTAGTCAATCATTAAACCATGTCAATACATTACCTCCTGTACCTCATGCTTTAATCTTTCTAACCAGTCTTTAGTGGGGACTTTATCAAAAGCAAGCTGAAGATTTAAGTATATACCGTGTTAGTAATATTGTAGAGGAAGGTTGTGGGGATTATATGTGTGATATACCATGAGTAACTTTAATTTGCACATAGATTGGACAAACCAAACCAAACCAGCAATAATGTTGTGCAAGAGGATCTCCTGGGGATGGGCGATAAATGCCAATCCAACCAGTGAATGGGTGAATAGAGAAAGCGTAAGTGTTGCCTTATTAAGTCCTGCCGAAGGTACAGAGCCCATTGCTGGGTCTGAGGCTGGTTGTGAAGGCAAACCAATCCTGGTGGGAGCTTGGTGCTTAAGCTGCCTCCTGCTTCTTATTAAAACAGCAGCTATTGACAACATTCAGTTTAAAACCAAAGCTCTCCAGTTTGAACAAAAGCTCTTTAGGCAGTAAAAGTGATTTCTCTGACCAGATGGCATCATCTCAGAATGAGGGGTCAGCCATTTACGACAGAGATGGGGAGGAATTCCTTCTCTCAGAGGAGAGTGAATCTGTGGTATTCTTTACCACAGAAGGCTGTTGAGGCTGGGTCATTCAGTATATTCAAGGCTGAGAGAGATTGTTAATGTAAGGGTACCCATGAGGACGGCCTCAACCGAGATCTTGGGTCCATGTCGCACTATAGATGACCCCATCACACTGTACACTCTCACACACACATACATACAGACACACACACACACACTCACACACACGCTCTCACACACACACACACACACACACACACTCTCACACACACTCACACACACACACTCACACATACATACAGACACACACACACACACACTCACACACACACACACACACTCACACTCATATACACACACACACACACACACACACATACATACAGACACACTCTCACACACTCACATACACACACCCCCTCACACACACATACATACAGACACACACACACTCTCACACACACACACACACACACATACACACACACTTACACATACACTCAAACACACGCACACACAGGCGCACACACACACTCTCACACATGCACACGCTCACATGCAAACATACACACGCACACACACTTACGCACTCACGCTCTCTCTCTCCACCCCTCCCACACACACTGTCTCTCTCCCCCCCTCACACACATACACACACACATATTTGTATTTGCAGATACATTCTATTTTGTTCAAAAAGCACACAATTTATAGACAGTCAGTCAATATGGCATTTTATAAATTCCTATTTTAGAAATAAAACCAGTCTGATTCCAAACCAAAACACAAACAGATTCTAAACAAAGATTCTCACATCTAACATGCATTGTCTGACCTAAAATGACCTTTAATTGTCTCAGTAACTTGAAAGAAATTTGGAGATTTACATATACATATTAATCAATTTAAACTTTCTAACTGATTAAAGATTTAACAGCATCTTAGGTTGGTCTAATACATATTCATCACTGATGTGACCCTTTGATCTTTTGCTTATAAATTCTGTGTCTGATACTACCTCTCTCACTAACACCTGAAGAAGGAGCAAGGCTCTGAAAGCTTGTGTTTTCAAATAAACCTGTTGGATTATAACCTGGTGTCATGTGATTTCTGACCTTGTCCACCCCACTCCAACACCGGCACCTCCACATCACGATAAGGGAATCGGGAGTTATGGGGAAAAGGCAGGAAAGTGGTATTGGGGATGATCACATCAGCCATGAACTTGATGGGTTGAATGGCCTACTCCTGCTCCTATGTTTTATAGTCTCTCTCTTCTGTTCTCTACCCATATCCATCTCTCCCCCTCTCTCTCCCCGTCTCTTTCCCTCCCTCTCTCTTTCTCTCTCTCTCTCCTGACTGTCTGTCTGCCTCTCTGTATCTCCCTCTCCCCCACCCTCTCACTCTCCCACTTTTAGAATCATCATGTCAAATAGCCATATAGCACAGAAACAGACCTTTCGGTCCAACCCATCTGTGCTGACCAGACATCCCAATTTGACCTAGTCCCATTTGCTAGCTTTTGGTCCATGTTCCTCTAAACTCTTCCTGTTTACAGACCCATCCAGACACCTTTTAAATGTTGTAATTGTACCAGCCTCCACCACTTCCTCGGGCAGCTCATTCCATACATGCACCACCCTCTGCGTGAAAAAATTTATGTGTGTGTCTAGGAAAGTGTATGTCCATTTGTCTTTACGTCTGTGTCTCTCTCTCCCTCTCTGTCCTTTCATGTATGTGAGAGAGCCTGTGTGTGTCCTTCTCTGTCTTTACATTAGTGTCTGTGTGTGCACGAGTGTGTGTGTGTGTCTATGTTTTTACATCTGTGTGTGCCTTTCTGTATTTTTACATCTGTGCGTGTATGAGAGAGAAAGTGTGTGTTATAGTGTCACAGGGTCATAGAATCACACAGCACAGAAACAGTACTTTGGCCCAGCTTGTCCATGCTGACCAGGTTTCCTAAACCAAACTCGTCCCCTTTGCCTGTGTGTGGCCCATATCCCTCTAAACCTTTCCTGCTCATGTACCTGTCCAAATGTTATAGTTATACCCAGCTCCACCACTTCCCCACAATGGCACCACCTTCTGTGTGGAAAAGTTACTCTCAGGTTCCTTTTAAATCTTTCCCCTCTCACCTTAAACCTCTGCCCTCTGGTTTTAGACTGTCCCATTCTGGGGAAAAGACCTTGGCTATTCACGAGCTCAATGCGTTCTACCCCCATTTGTCAACCTCTCTCCTCTCCCCCTCTCTCTATCTCTCTCTCCTTCACCCTCTCTCTCTCCCCCTCCTTGCTCTCCTTCTCTCTCCTCCTCCTCCCTCTCTCCCCTTCCCTCCCTCTCCCTGATGTCCTGTCATGTTGCTATCGCAGTCTCCTCTCTCTAACATTTTCTGTTTTGTCTACAGCTGGGACTGGGTTACCTCGTACAAACTGAGCTTCAGCAATGATACCTACAACTGGGTCACCTACAAGAATGGCACTAAGGATGTTGTGAGTTCTTTGGCCAAGAGTTCTGCCTGCTTTTTCCACTACTCTTTGTGAGACTGAGAGAGGGCCAGAACAGCCAGAGGGCTGAACATTGATAGATAGAGGGAGGTACATAGATAATCGAAGGAGAAAAGGAGAAGAAGGAGCCTGATGGAGATCTCCAGGCAGTGCCCACAAAAGATGTCATTTCATTTTAAGCAGGAAGGATGAAGGAGGACATAAGACAGTATAGAGCTGGAGGAACACAGCAGGTCAGGCAGAAATTTCTGAAGAAGGGTCCGGATCCGAAACGTCAGCTTTCCTGCTCCTCTGATGCTGCCTGACCTGCTGTGTTCCTCCAGCTCCACACCTAGTTACCTCAGACTCCAGCATCGGCAGTTCCTACTATCTCCAAGGTTGAAGGAGGAGTTTGGGGAACACAAAGTCAGTTCACAATTTGTATTGAGGAAGTTTCTGAGCTTTTGACACAAACAGTTGAGAGAGAGTATGATGCAGTGCTGGTGAAGGGAAATGTGGTTAAAAGGCTGAGGCCTGGGCCCTCATTATATCACAGTATCGAGTGTGCAGAAGAGACTGAGACAGAGACAGTGTTTGCTGGTAGTCAATGCCGGGCCTTTATTATTTTTTTCTTTATTTATTCACGGGATGAGGGCATCGCTGGCCAGGCAGCATTTATTGCCCATCCCTAATTGCCCATAGGGCAGTTAAGGGTCAACCACATTGCTGTGTGTCTGGAGTCACATGTAGGCCAGACCAGGTAAGGATGTTGAAAGCCAGGACCTCAAAGGTAGCAGTCTCTGGATTGCTACCTGTGCCACGTGTTAGTGAGGCTAGGAATTGGCAGATTAGGCAGTTCAATTCGTGGCTGGGGGGAGTGGTGTATGAGGGAGGGCTCTGAATAACAGGGACCCTTTCTGGGGAAGGTGGGACCTGATCGAGGGATGGTCTTCACCCAAACAGTGATGGGACCAATATTCTTGCCGGTGGTTTTGGTGGCACTGTAGGGTGGACTTTAAACTAGTTTGGCAGTGGGATGGGAATCTAAGGGAAGGCTCTGAGTTAGCTAGAGTTGTGCGGGCTTAGAGAAAAGGCGATTCAATACAGTAACTAAAAAGCAGGAAGCGGCTGAGCAGTGTAGCACTAAGGCAAGTGGAAACCAGGTAGTGACAAAAAAATGTGCAAATGTTTGAGAACAGAAGTTCTTCCGGTGAAGATGTTAGGATTCAAAAAGGAGCTATGAAAATTAGCATAAAGGCACTTAACCTGAATGCTCACAGCTTTCAACACAAGGTAAATGAGTTGACGACACAGATCATGGTGAATGGGTATGATTTAGGGGCCATTACAGAGACACAGCTGCAGGATGGTCATGACTGCAAGTTACCTAACGGCGGGTATCAGGCTATTCGGAAGGACAGACAGGAGGGAAAGGGAGGTCCTGTAGCTCTGATATTTAAGGATAACTTCTGGGCGGGAGTGAGAGATGATACAGGTTCCATGGAGAAAAATGTTGAATCAGTGTGGGTGGAAATTAGAAATAGGAAGGGGAAACAGTCACTGAAAGGCCTAGTCTACAGGCTGCCAAATAACAATATCATGGTGTGGCAGGCTATAAACAAAGAAATAACTGATGCATGTAAAAATGGTACGGCAGTTATCGTGGGGGATTTTAATCTACATATTGATTGGTCAAACCAAGTTGGTCAAGGCAACCTTGAGGAGGAGTTCATCGAATGGATCTGTGATAGTTTCCCCAAACTGTGTGTAATGGAACTGATGAGGGAGCAAGCTGTCCTAGACCTGGTCCTGTGTAATGAGACAGGAATAATTAATAATCTGATAGTTGAAGATCCTCTCGGAAGGAGCGATCACTGTATGGTTGATTTTAAAATACAGATGGAAGGTGAGAAGGTAAAATCCAATCCCAGGGTCCTACAGGAGACTACAACGGGATGAGGGAGGAGTTGGCTAAGGTAGGCTGGGAGCAAAGACTATCTAGAACATAGAACAGTACAGGCCCTTTGGCCCACGATGTTGTGTCAACCTATTATCCTACTAAGATCAAACTACCCTGCATACCCTACATTTTACTATTAGCCATGTGCCTATCCAAGAGCCACTTAAAAGTCTCTAATGTATCTGACTGCACTACCACCGCCGGCAGCGCATTCCACACGCCCACTACTCTCTGTGTAAAGAACCTACCTCTGACATCTCCCCTATACCTTCCTCCAATCACCTTAAAATTATGCCGTCTCATAATAGTCATTTCCACTATATGGTGGGATAATTGAGGAACAGTGATTTTGATTTGATTTGATTTATTACAGTCACATGTAGCTAAGCACAGTGAAAAGCTTTGTATTGGAGGCAGTACCGGCAGATCATAGCAAACAAGAACGTACCAATCATAGGGTGCTTGGACAGAGTGTGGCATACAGGTTACACTGCAGAGGAGTTTTAAGATCAACATTATTTGAAATTAGAGAGTTGCTTCATCAGTCTAATAATGGCCGGGAAGAAGCTGTTCTTGAACCTGTTGGTGGACATTCGAAGCAGTTTTTCACAGTGCTCAGCCAAAGTATATCCCAGTGAGAAGGAAGGACTCTAGGAAAAGGGGATAATCAGCCATGGATAACTAAGGAAATAAAGGAAGGTATCAAATTGAAAGAAAGTGCATGCAAAGTGGCAAAGATTAGTGGGAAACTAGTGAATTGGGAAATATTTAAAGGTCAACAGAAAGCCATAAGGAAAACTATAAAGAAAAGTAAGGTGGATTATGAGAGTAAACTCGCTCAGAATATTAAAACAGATAGCAAACTTTTCTACAAATATATAAAATGAAAAGAGTGGCTAAGGTAAACATTAGTCTTTTGGACGAAGTCAAGGGGGATTTAATAATAGGAAATGAGGAAATGGCCGAGGCATTGAACAGGTATTCTGTGTCAGTCTTCACAGTGAAGGACACA